ATATAATAAAAAAAAAGAAATACAAACTTGAAGGTAGGATGAACGACCCGTGTGTCCAAGCTAGAGTTTTCAATTGTTTTTCTTTTTTTGTTTTGTTTTGCTTTGTTGAAATATCGCGTGATGAATTTGGCGTATTTTTTAAAATCATCCGGTATATCAAGCTGCGGTAACCTAAGGAGAACTTGATAATTTAGATCATATTCTAAGGGCACCCAGTGACAGCAGTAGGCTACAAGTAAATGCATCTGAATATATGTAAAATAAAAACATAGCTCTTCATCCCATACTGTTTGACCTTCTGCGCAATATCCGGGTAAGCCGTGAAGATCATTGTGGCCAGCAGCAAATTAAGCAGGAGTGCCAATTTTATTTTTCCGGGTGGGGGGGGGGGGGGGGCTGGAAACGAATAATTACAAATAAAAAGGACTTACGAGGTTTCTGTTCGAGCTTTGTCGTCGTAAACAAACAACAACATTCAAGTGTTTGAAGATAAAGACTGACTTGATCTAATCTTCTCAATCTTATTGATAGTGGAGATGAAAGAAGATGACAGAACAGGACTAGAGACTGGGAAAAGACCCGAGAATAGAGAACATTTTAGAGAAAAACATTTTTCATCGCTGTCAGGTTTCGATCCCGATACCTTTTGAATGAAAGGCGAACACTGTACCTCTCGACCACGACAGCCCCCTTTTGAGACTCGGGGGCAGCGGGCTGTGGTTGTGGTGATGTTAGGTCCGTGTAATTTGCTACAGCAATATCGCCTATAAAAAAAGGAAAAAAACCAACAACACAAAAACGAAGAAGAAAGAAAGAGAGGGCACGCCCACCTCACAGATCATCTGTTTAATTAAAGTTAAAGTGGCAACATAATAATTTGTTTGGTTTCTTTTTCGTCTTTCTCTTTCAAGAAAAACAAAACAAAAAACTCTTCGCTACCTGGGCACTTGACCATCTCGCATCGCTTGACCTGCGACTCCGGACCCTGGCAGTCCTTCCCGCCAAACTGAGGGAGAGGCGAGTCACATGACCTGGTCTTCCGGTAGGAGCCTGGGCCACAGGTGGTGCTGCAGGAGGAGAACTCGCTCCACTCACTCCACGCGCCGTTCACTGGTGGACACAGTGTGGAATATAATAAGACATATGAAATTATATAATATACAGGTATATCATATTATATTATATTATATT